AAGAGCCCCTGCAGAGTGACAATTTTCACCCTGATCGACAGGCCTGGTCACCCCTGAGGACCCCAACTCTAGAGCAGAAATACCTCTCTGCTCCGGGAGAAACCTTCCCCAGGGTCACAACTTGGGCGCAGGGGAGGGGAGGGCTGAGCGGCGCCAAAGAGTGTCGTTCCCCGAAGTGTCTGCGCCGTGACGGCGACAGCTCTTCGGCCGGCGGGGACGGTCGGGCTGACAGGCCGTCCCAGTGGGAGAAAGTGGCACCGTTATCCATGCCCGGGCGGTGGGCCGCGGGCCGTCGCCGAGGGCGGCCGCACGTCCCGCCCAGCGCGGAGAGGACAGCAGCGTGCCCGGCCTGCCGAGGAGCGGCGGTCGCAGCGGCGGAAGGGGCCGGCGCCCGACGGCCGGGGGCGGGCTGGGGTGGCGGCCCGGGCCCGCCAGGCGGCGGTCGGGGGAAGTGGCTGCCGCCTCTGGCGGCGGGCAGGGTCCGCCAGGCTGCAGGGCCGGGCCGCGGCTCGGGCTCGGTCCCGGCTCCGCTCCTCCCGGGCCAGGGTGGGGCTGTCCCGACCCGCACGCCCCGCCCGGCCCGGCCCGCGGGGGGCGCTTACCTGGCGGCGGCGGCGGCGACTGCAGGCCCGGGTCTCGGCCGCGCGCGTCCCCAGCGCCGGCTGCGGGAGCCACAACATGGCGACGGCGGTGGCGGGCGGGGCTGCGGCTCCGGGGGCGGAGCGGGGGCGGGAGCCGGCCTGGCGGCGGGACCTGGCTGGGGCTGCCGGGGGGGAGTGGGGGGGCAGGCGGAAGGCGACTTGGACCTGGGCACCGGCCCAGGGCGGTGCGGTTGAGGGGCTGCCCCGGCCTGGGCCCGGCCTCCCGCCTCCCGCCCGAGGCGGGCTGCGCGGCGCAGGCCCGGCGACCGCGGCGGCGGCGGCGGCGGCGGCGGCGGCAGCGGCGGGTAGGGCGGGGCGGGGCGGGGCGGGGACGGCGCGGCGCAGGGCTGGACCCCAGACCCCGGCCGGCCTCCTCCCCGCTCCAGTCCCCGCCACCCCCGCCAGCACCCTGCGCGGTCGGGCAGACAGCCGCTCCCTGCGACCTGGGCCTCTTGTCCTCTGACGCGCCTCAGGGCAGGGGCCGAGGCCGCCCACTAGAGGGACAGGATCTGCCTACGCAGCTGTCTCGCGCGGCGGGGAGCGCCCGGGACCCGGGACTGCGTCCTCTTCCCTGAAACCTGGCGCGTAGTGGGGCCTAGTCGAGGCTGTTAAAGGAAGCAGGGGTGGCGTGGGCCTGGCGCTCAGGTGCGCCCTAACTGTTTGATCATTGCTGGCTGCAAGCGAGGACGTTCGCGCAGGCTTGGAGGTGCGGGGCACGCTGACATGTTGCCTCTGGGGTAACCCAGGGACGCGCGGCAAACAGAGTTGGAGGACTAGCGATGGATGCCGCAAGAGGTAGACTGGGAGATCTCTCAGGGTTCCTGGGGGAGCGATGACTGTGCAGGGTGAGAACTCAGAGTCTGGCAGAAGGCCAGGAGGGTGACCGGCAGGACCTTCCAAGAACCTGGCGTACCTGGAAACTGGGTTCGCAGCATTAAGGCGGCAGCAAAGTCAGGGTGTGGGAACTCGGAGATGAGGCCCTGGTGACTGGCAGTGAGCACACACTGCTGACCGTGGAGAAATTCCTTCTCCAGGAAAGATATGCCAATTTGCAAGAGGGCTGGAACGAACATGCAGACGGGGCCTGCTGTGCACCAGGCAGGGAACTGAGTTGAAAGCTTGGGTAAGGAGTGTGTTAGCGATGAAGCAATTAAGTCAATAAAGAGTGATTATTCCGAAAGCTTGGCAGTGGGAAGGAGAGAAAAGTAGGCCTGGAGCTCACGACAGTACCAAGAGTAAAGGAAAAGCTGGGTCCTATTGTAGAAGCTGAAATAAAAGCATCCCTTAATCCCAGGAGTTTGAGTTCAGCCTGGGCAACATAGGGAGACCCTCCCTCTCTGCAAGCGAGTAAAGGGAAAAGTTGATTTTTTTTTTCTTGAATAAAGAGGTTTTTTTGTTTGTTTGTTTTTCTTGAGACAGAGTTTCGCTCTTGTAGCCCAGGCTGGAGTGCAATGGCACGGTCTTGGCTTACTGCAACCTCTGCCTCCAGGGTTCAAGCGATTCTCCGGACTCAGCTTCCCAAGGAGCTGGAATTATAGGTGCCCCTCACCATGCCCAGCCATTTTTTTGTATTTTTAGTAGAGACGGGATTTCACCATGCTGGCCAGGCTGATCTCGAACTCCTGACCTCAAGTGATCCGCCCGCTTCACCCTCCCAAAGTGCCAGTATTTCAGGCGTGAGCCATCGTGTCATGCCGAAAAGTTGATTTTGAGACAGTCTCACTCTGTTGCCCAGGCTGGAGTGCTGACATGATCTCGGCTCACTGCAACCTCTTCCTCCTCCCGGGTTCAAGCGATTCTCCTGCCTCAGCCTCCCGAGCAGCTGGGATTACAGGCGCCGGCCACCAAACTGGCTAATTTATTATTTATTATTTATTTTTATTTTTATTTTTTTGAGATGGAGTTTCACTCCGGTTACAGGGATTGGAGTGCAATGGCAGAATCTCGGCTGACTGCAACCTCCGCCTCCTGGGTTCAAGCGATTCTCCTGCCTCAGTCTCCAGAGTAGCTGGCATGCTCCACCATGCCCAGCTAGTTTTGTATTTTCAGTAGAGATGGGGTTTCTCCATATTGGTCAGGCTGGTCTTGAACTCCTGAAGTCAGGTAATCCACCAGCCTTGGGATTACAGGCATGAGCCACCACAGATGGCCTGTGATTTTTTTTTTCTTTTTTCTTTTTTTTTTTTTTGCCCTTTTTTTTTTTTTTTTTTTTTTTTTTTTTTCCCAGCAAATATATTCTATCATACTTTTTTTTCTTTTTCCTAACTTGAGGGGCAGACCTCAAATAAAGGAGCTGAGAGGAGAGAATGGCAGATTAAGATGTAGGATAATTGATTGTGCAAGATACCAGAAAACAAAAAGGAGATGGGAAGCAGGGAAGAGAGGAAGGGGGAAAAGTCAGATAAGTGCACCTCTTTCTACAAGATTTAAAGAGTGGCCGGGCGCGGTGGCTCAAGCCTGTAATCCCAGCACTTTGGGAGGCCGAGGCGGGTGGATCACGAGGTCAAGAGATCGAGACCATCCTGGTCAATATGGTGAAACCCGGTCTCTACTAAAACTACAAAAAAATTAGCTGGGTATGGTGGCACGTGCCTGTAGTCCCAGCTACTCAGGAGGCTGAGGCAGGAGAATTGCTTGAACCCAGGAGGCGGAGGTTGTGGTGAGCCGAGATCGCGCCATTGCACTCTAGCCTGGGTAACAAGAG